CCGAAATTTCGGTGCATCTCTAATTATTGGCGACATCAGAAATGGATATTATATAATAGATGCTTTTTTGAACATTTTAGAAATTTAAAAATATTAAAAAAAGATTTTTTACACGGCACCCCGGTTGGGAAACACTGTCCTAGAGGACAAAGACATATTAATTTTGTATTCCCTATCTAACACTTATCTGACCAGGGGCTTCTGAACAGCACCGCAGAGTGGCATTTATTTTATGTCGGCCTCTGATATGTGCTGTCATGTTGGCTGGATTATCAGTCGTGCCTCATTGAGCACCATGATTGGATCAGCAAGGAAAATTTCAGAAGTAAACTAAACAGACACCCGTTCATGTTCACCATCATTGCAATAAACAAGGACACGCAGAAGGGGTGATGTCACTGTACCGTTTCCTTCCCATCAGACCGCACAGGACTAATGTCATTGAGATAACAAAATATACATGGCTTTCTTCTGAAAGATAGAGCTGGAATGACTTTATGTTTAAAGGAACAGTTCACAAAAAAATGGAAATTACGAATTTGATAATGTATTAATTAAACTGACAGATCCTAAGAAAGACTACTGGATCCATCTCAGTGGACATCACAGTTTCCCAAACTCACCGTTAACCACCAGGATGATATCCCGGAAGTCGATCTCTCCCCTGGCCTCGACTCTGGCCTCGCAGCGATACACTCCTTCATCTGCTTTAGTTACTCTCTGGACTTGCAAATTGTTGTTCTGGAGGAGTTGAAACTCTGGAAAACAAAATATTTGATGGTGTGTTAATGACAGGCTAATTTTGCCTTCAAAGGAGCTATATTTATTGCTGGCTGAAATCACATCTACAAAAAACAACTTTTTTTTACCAACTCACATGTTAACACTTGTCACAACTGAGTTGGGAAAGGTATACTATTTTAAAAGTCTTGCAGTGAAACAAGGTCTTAAATCCTTTACAATAATAATACTCTAAGCATTCATTTATTCCTTTTGCTTCTTTCTTTTCGACAATCTTTTTCTCTTTCTCAAATCATCTCCAGAGCAGCTTGAATTCTACAATAATTTTCAACGATTAAAGTGACAAAACGCATCTTATCTATTTAGCTGCAAAGATGTGCTTTACAATATAGGTGATAGCTAGTATGGCAGATAACTTACTCTCAGTGTCTTCGATGATCTCCACATTGTTGTAAAACCAAGAGACCACAGGTACGGGGGAGCTGGTGACATCACAGACCACTTCAGCCACATCACCCTGTCGAAACTCCTGAGGAGACCTCACATCTCTGAACGTCAGCTTCTCTATGGATCATGGGGGAGAAAAATATTGTGAAATGCTACTCTTATGTACACTACCATTCAAAAGTTTGAGATCAGTAATACTTATGTTACTTGCCATTTTTCGTAATTGTTCGTGAAATTTACTACGGTTTCTATACCAATTTTTTTCAGTGTACATACTCTGACACCATGTTATGGTGCTGAAGTAGGAAATTTCAGATGTAGGTGCATGTCAAATCTTCCCTGCGATCTTTCCTTTTCTTTAAACTGTGCAACAGCCAAAATTAAAGCAAAACAAACAAATCTGTCTGATTAAGTTGTATGTTGCTAATTGTTGGATCAAGGTTGTACATATTTAATTCCTAACACTTGAAATCGAAGCGGTACGAAGATAAAAAAAAAAAAAAAAAAAGG